TCCCAGAGACCGGAAGTGGACCAACAAAGCAGTGCTCCTTGTGCTACCCTGGACCGGGGGGTCCCCAGTCTGGGGAAGGAATGGGAAGACTTTCTGCACTACTTCGTTATCTTTGGGGACTAAGGGAGTGAAGCAGCTGCTGCTCTCTGCACCTTTCCCAGACCAGGATCAGTGTCCCTGGCCTGGGAAAGGTGAGGAGAATAGTAGAGGGGGGCACCTACAGGCTGAACTGCCTGTCCCACTCCCTCTCCTGGAATTATTTCTATTGTTGCAGTTTTCACAGAAATTTCCACAACTAGAAAGGGGAGCACCTGTTCATACCCTGTGTCCATGCACAAGGATGCTGAATTAAAATTGCCCATTCAACCTTAATTCTGGCATTTCCTAAGTTTTGACTGCATGCCTTACCAACCATAATAAGAGCATACGTATGTAATAAAAATACATACGCTACAAGCCATACTAAGTGGTAACTGAGAACAGGAATAAAATGTAGCATTACATCTTTTGAATGCTTTGTGTCATGTAATATTTTCACCGCTAATTAGGAAGTTATTTCATTTTTAGAAGGAAACAATTTTCCTTATATTGTAATCTGTAACAGTTCTTTCAGAGTAATGAGTATTATGCTTTTGTCTAATGGTGAACAGGAATGCTGTCTGGAGAGTTTAAGACAAACAAAACTCTAAAGAGCTGTGCTAATTCAATGGAAGAATCAAATTATGTTTAAAATGCCATAAACGAGTACTCGCGTTTATGATGCTTTCTTTCCTAAAGACCCAGTGGAATCCTTTTGGCCTATTTTTGAATAAAATGAACACAATTACAACCAAATATTAGAGTGGGAGCTATTAAGGAGATCAACAGCAAAGCAGAATTGAGAAAATTGAACCTTAAATTTTTCTCTTAGGAGTTAATCTGTGGCAAGTCTAGTATACTCCAGGTTCAGCAAACTGTGATCATACAACATCTAAGTTAAACAGCTTTTTCAATATTATTCCAAAATAAAATGAATCTAATGCAACATTTTCTACCAGCCAGTTTCCTGAACAGCACATGCAATAAATACAGGAAACCCTCGCCATTTGTGGGAGATATGTTCTAGGGATTCCCGCAAAAGGGGGAATCTGTGAATATGATCATGAACGGCAGTGGGAATGTGGTGGCACTGGGAGCACGGTGGCAGCAAGTGTGGAGCTCCTGCAAACGCCACTTGCACTGTTGGTGCCGGCGGGGAGCACGGCGAGACCATGCGGGGAGAGAGTGTGCACAGGGAGAGAGCATGGGTTTGAATATTCGCACCACGAATATTCAAAACTGCAAATCACAAACCCACAGATGGCAAGGGTTTCGTGTAACAAAGTCACAGTAACTGACTGATCCTGACCTACCCACATGGAAAGTTTCTATAGGTTTTAATAGACAATTGTAGCATTTCTCTTTGTTTTATGAACATCCTATCAAGTAAGTAGAAAATTGTAACTCTGCTAGAAAAAACTGAGAGAGAAGTAATGATTAAATGATACAGGGTTTTGGAGTCATTTTGTATGACCCAGTTAATTTAATTCAGTTATTGTGAAATGTGTAGCTATTCTCTAAGGATTATACAGCTGAGGAAGACACTGACAATTTAGTCACTGATATACCTTGCCATACGCAGAATGACTATTGTACCATCTGGTGCAGTAGTGGAAGAGTCTACCCCAAGAAATTAAGCAACAACAGGCTGGTTGCAAGACCCTTCACTCCATAGAGTCAGTTTCATGATAACAGGGTGATTACTTGTCATGTTTTTTCCTCTTTCTTATTATTTTATTAATAATTTTTTTTATTGACCCCCAAAATGAGCGTGGCACAACAGCATGTGATGAACAGGGGCAAGGGAAGACATGGAATAAGACATTGGTAGTGGCAATAAGAACCCATGGATATGTAGTAAAGGAAGCTTTGTATCTTAAGGGTTCCAGTTTTAATTCCCCTACTTCTCATTGGTGAGATTGCTACAGGGAATTTTTCAAGGATGGATTTGAATAACATAAACTGGATGGCTTAAAGGAGAGGTTTAGACAGAGATACTTTGTCCTCAAGGTTTAACAAAATAAGCACCCTGTGTCGTATGCAGGAGTGGTATTTAATTTTGTCTACTTAAAGGGTTATAGCGGATGTAGGTCTAATGCAGTCATACAGTGCAATGGACAGTAGAAATGCAGTTTTTCATAGTTTCTTTCCTAGTTGTGTTAGCAACTCCCAAATGCTCTCTCCAGGGTATAGGCACTGTGCCTAAGATGTTACTCTCAGGAGGAAGTGCATAGGGACCATGTGGTTAGTGAAACAGTGTAGGTTAAGCCCTGGCACCCTCTTCTCAGTCCAGCTGAGCACAGCAGGTTAGACTCTAAGGAGGGATTTGCCCTGAAAAGTATCTGCTGTCTCCTTGAGATAGTAGCTTAAAGGCATTACTCTGCATTTTATGCATTCCAAGAAAAATCTGTTTCTCAAGATGTATTTGGATATTGATTGGGCATGTTTGAGTATACGTAAACATAAATGTTAAGCCAAAGAATATTAATAAAAGTTTTAACATCCTGTTTGTTGTTTATATCCTACCTCTCTAAAGTATGCAAACTACACACTGCCCACATTGCTGCTGTTCTGAGAAGCTAGTTGTAGAAAACATAAGCAGGAAGTAAAAATAGTTGCAATTTACAGCAGATGCATCCAACAGAATGTGAGTTCTGAAAATATTTTTAAAGTAATCAAACATTTTCCGCTTCCAGAGATTTTTTCTTAACACTTAACAAATTTTTAATTTTTTTTTATTAGTTTGCTATACTGCCTTTTGGTTTTAAATTGGGGGGCTTGGGGTTTTTTTTATTTTGTTTTGGTTCACTATTATACAGGATAGCAAACAGCAATCATGTAGCATATTATTGCTGTGGAACATGTTTTGTAAGGAAACTCACAAAGCAAAACAGAATAGATCATGCAGTTATAATCAGGGATCGGGGTTTTCAATCTACTGCAGGAAAATCAGATTTCCTCATTTTAAGGAGAAAAATGCAGATTTTTTCCTTTAAAGGAGAAAAATATAGGAAATGGCAGGTTTCCCCATGAAGGCTGACAGAGTTCCAGCCTGCAAGGGGCTGGGGGAAGCCAGAGGAGGGTGATCAGGCAGGGGAGCCATGTGCATGTGGCAGCATGGACGGCAGCATGGACGGCAACTCCTGCAGCTCTCCACAGGTAAGTTGGGGGTGGGTGGCGTTGAGGCCCC